AATTACAAAATATTGTCATTAAACTTTATCGATATCCTCGCGTGTTATTTAAAAAAATTAATATTGTTATGATATAAATTATTAGTTGGACTAAAATATTAAATATTAGACAGAGTTGAAAATTAACGAGTTTATGTTAAAATCTCATAGATATTGTTAACCTCTTACGTTTAGTAAACTAAAAAGAATAACCATTTACTAACAAATAATATGATCTAGTATTAGAATGTTTTCTTATATAACAAAAAATAATTGTTAGTATAAGCTTTAGAAATGATATATTTCACTAACAAATAATTTTATTAGTATAAATATTAATACATAATATCAATATAAGTGCCAGTATAAAACATATTTTGTTAGTATAAATTTTTAAATAGATGAAATATAAGTATAGGTGTTAGCGGTATCGTTATCCAATTAGAGTTAAAGTCTTATATTTATAATATATAATAAATATCAATAATACTAACAATATTTAATTTTATTAGATAAAAATTATTATAACAAAGGCTATTCTAATAATTAATAATTTTCATGTGTTATGATATTTTTCGTAATGGTATTTTCTAATGAGATTATTCAATCCATTGATAAAGTTAAAATAACCTTTCAATTTGTTCCTTAATCATCTTCGCTTTATCTTACAAATTTGGCCAAGGTGCTGCGCCCACTATTTTATATATTCAACGAGTTTCTTTTGTTTTTTGTTTTACTACAGCAATCTAATGACAGGAAAAAGAAATGAACAGAACTAAAGTTATGAGAGTAAATGGCAATGGAGACGAATTTATATTAATTAAAATTTCTTTGAAATGTTTTAATTTGAAGGGAGTTTTGGAATTGGCCAATAGAAAGAGAAGGGCAGGTAAGCCTGTTAACCCAAAACTGCTTTTGACCCCTTTAATAACTAGTGTTAACCATATTTATTTGAATTTTGTTGGTGTATTTAGACTTTAGAAGACATCAGTAGTCGTTCCACTTGAACGAAAAAATGGGTTAATCATAACAGATAAAAATTAATTTATGAATTGAATCCTCTTGTTAACTAGTATGATATTATTATATTTAAAAAAATATATAATTTTATTAAATAATTATAAGACTCAATCATTAATTTAATTAATTTTATTTCTTTTTAATATAACTATATCATATTATTAAGTAATATGAGATGAGAGGATTCAAATCCTTCCAGGCCACGTTTCCTATTACTATCCATTTAACTGATACGCAATTGAATTTTTCGCAAAATTGAGATTCATTTGAATAAGTCAAACCTAGTTTCTTTTGCTTCACTGATTACGATACACAGCATCATTTTCTCTGGAAGGGTTATTCTTTGTTTAAGGGTACGTTTGAAGGAAATAAACACAAATGAAACCTAATCCATTATATAATTTTTTTATTCAATTAATTTATAGATTATTATAATTTTAATGAAAATTTACCTATTAGTTGCATTTCTCAATACATAAATAAAAAGAAAATTTTTTAAATCTAGAAAGAGAGCCATAGTATTAAAAAAAGATAAAACAAGTTGAATAATATTGCAAATAAACGAGAAAGTGAAAATTGAAAAAGCAAAAGAGCAAAGGACTTAAAGATTAAGTCTACGATTTGGTCATAAATGACATGGATTACAAGCTAGTCAAGAGTTTAGAAAATTTTGGGGCTAATATATAGGCTTGGCGATCTTTCGCATCACTAACTTTCAATATTTTTGTCTCTTTCAAATCTTATTTTTTTAATATTTGTTTGTTCGCTTTCAAATTCTGGTACAAACAAATATTATTCTCTTTTCAAATTATATACATTTAATTTTTTTTTGTAATTTTCATATTTTAAATTCTTATACTTTAATTTATGTGTAATTTTTTTATTTATATTATTTAAGTGAAGTTTTACACATTAATTTTTTTTAATAATTAATAAAAATATGATAGAGAACTGATATATTAATATAAATATCTGAAAAATGTATATAAAAAGATTTAAATAAAAATAAATGTTATTTTATTTAAATATTTTATACATTTGTAATTTTTTAAATTTATACAAATTAATGGTATATCACTTCTTTATTATAATTTTTTTATTTTTAGAATAAAATTTAGAGTGAAAAACTTAATTTAAATAATAAAATAATATGAGAATAAATATAGATAATTTAAATTTAAAATACAAAATTATACCTAAAACAAAATTTTACTGTAACAATCCGTGCTTCTTGAGGTTGAAAGTTTCCAGCGGGATAAAAACAGAAACTTTTTTTTGGTAGGAGCAAGGAATTTATTGGTATAATTAATTAAAAATTTAAAATATATTAAAACAACAGTATGTAAAGTCTCTGTATTGAAAGACTTTGTTGAAATTGCTTTAATACTATATTTTTGTAAAGAAGAAAGTGCACTTTAAAAGATAAATTACAGTATGGTTGATAAAAAAAAAATTGAATAATTTTATAATTTATTGTGCATTTATTTATTTTACGTCAGATTTTAGTCATTAATTTTGTAATTAACAGTTGTCTATAATTCTGCTGTATTCTTTTTATAATTAATTGTGACGAGGATAAGTTAATCGATTTATTGATCGAATAACTCCGTCTTATCAATTTAGTTATTTTTATTTTTTTGAAATTTATCATTTTTTGTCCTTTTCACTGACATGACACAATAAAGAATACTTTATACAAATTGATATGTAACGAATTTTTAATTAAATAAATCATTACAGGAAACAATAAGCTTTCAATTTGAGAAAAGTCTGGAGAGAAAATCCAGACTTAGAATAGATGAGTGCTTCTTTTTGAACAATCAAGCCATGCTTACCCAAAATAAAGCATGATCCACCATCGGTTTTCAAATAAATTCTTCCATCTTTTTTCCCAGTTTTGATGCAAAAGATGAATAACAGGATGCGTAAAATGAAAGAGTATTTTATACCATCTTATATGATCGTTAATTTTGTATCAATTATAATCGAATCAGTGATTTATTTAAAAGAGATATAAGAACTTTTTAATTTTTAATTTATTAAGGGAATCACAACTTTTAGTTTGGGGAGAATATACAATGTTTTTCAAGTTTAAGATTATCGTATCAAGTACTTTTTTTTTATTATTAGTTAATTTTTTAAATTAAGAAATCAGTACTTGGTTTTAAAAAATAAGTTATTCTATATTTTATAAAGCTATTAATTTGACTTTTTAAAAAAAAAAAAATATTACAAAGAGTGTATATTTGCTTACATTGCTTGTATCATACGCTCGCTGAATAGTTGTTGGTATGCACAATGGTACCCAAATGGACTTTGGCTGTCTGATTATTTTAATAGTCGTCTTACCCAATGTTATTCTTTTTTTTCTTCTATTTAATTCCCAACAAGGTTATATAAAATAGATTTAAGCTGCTTAGATCTCTATAATACATGACCACTAACCCTTCCCCAGTAGTATATATAAAATGAAAGAAGAGTGCAAAGAAATTAAGATAAGAGCAAAATTAAGGCGTTCTTATACCATGTTTTCTAATAAAATTAAATTTATCTTAATAATAACTTACGTCAACCTTTAAAACACGTATGAATTATCAAGATAAAAACCACTAGTTTAAACAATAACATATAAATTAGCAAAAAATTAAAAAAAACATATAAAAACATATCTTTAAGATTGCACTTAATTTTATCCTTAAGATAAAGAATATGTCATCTACTCCATAACAATGACAACAATAAAATGTTTGTCATCTCAAATATAAATAAACATAATGTGGTCATGTCTTATTAATTAATTATAAGTTAATTGTGATTCGGTAGATCTAACTTTCAGGGAACAATGTATACCGTTAAAAAAGACAAGAAAAAAACGAAGACGTGTATAACATGCAAAACATTAGAGACAACAACTGACCTCAATTACCTTGCCATCGCACATTTATTAACGTAACATATATAATAGGTAACAGAGATTTGGTATAACAAATCTGAAACTGATTTTTTTTAAGGTGAGAGCCATAGGATTACATCAAATTACAGAAAAAAAAAAAACATTTTTGACAAGATTATTGCCTGATAAGGGGGAATAAAATGAAGAGTTATAGTTATTAATTAAAAAAATAAAATTTAAATATGTGTTAATATACATATACATGCATTTATCATAAATTTAAAAGTTTGAAATTAATAATTATAATTCTTCGCTTTACTTTTATTATCCACTCAAACAAACCCGTAAATTAAAGTAATATAAACAAAACTGGTAAAAAAAAAAAACGATCCGGGGTTGGGAGATATTGCTCAACAATTAAATTCTATAGTTAAATCTCTTTCATTTGCTGATCATAAATTAGAATTCCAATCACTTTCATTTTTTAGCTAAAATAAAAAAAAAATATGCTAATATAAAATTTTTTAAACCTATATTAATATAAAAAATCTGCTCTTATATATCATCTTTTTACGCTAGTATAAATTTAAAAATTCTTTCATTCTATTTAGATTTTTTATTTAATTTACATCTAACGGTTAATAAAATAATAAATTATAACCCATTAGATTAAGGTACATAAAAATTTTAATATAAATTTTTTTAAACTTACACTAATATAATATAATATAAAAAATCTTTTATATATATATATATATCGAAATAATATAAAAATACATCTAGGATTACGATAAAGTACTCCAAATTGACCACTGTCATTATTTAATCGTTCTGCTGATGATATCTGTTTTTGGAATTCACTTGAGATTTATAGTGATTCGCACGGCAATGAAACTTAGCAGATAATAAAATAAAATAAAATAATGTCATGCACTACACGACCACGTGATTATTAACTGGCGCGAGGCACCGCTAATCTTGAATGTATTTTAATTAATCGGAAAGAACAGTCTATAGAACTTTGTTATAAAATGGAAGGCAATTCACAAGCTTAAAGCATACAATTACAGCAAGCAAATTAAATCAATCTTAGCTATATTCATGCTCCATGGCTTCCCTATGCCCTCCACCCCCTTCCATTGCCTCCCCACCTTCGGGGACCCACTTTGCTACTTCTTCATTCTCTCCCATATTCAGAAACCACAAGTCCAATGCCCCAAAAGTAGCGAAACCAAGCCAATACTACGTTTCTAGAGTGTCATGCAAAGCCACAAAGGGTGACGAGCCACAAAACCAATCAATAGGAAACATGAACAAATTAGAGACACAAGAAGAAGCCAATAGTAACAACCTTGGAATGTTTGACAGAAGAAACATCCTCATAGGTCTAGGAGGCCTTTGTGGTACCCTTAACAATGACTCATTGTCCCTTGCCGCTCCCATCACCCCTCCAGATCTAACCAAATGTGGTCCGCCTGACCTACCCTCTGGAGCCAAACAAACAAATTGTTGCCCCCCAAATTCCTCAAACATCATAGATTACACACTTCCAACGAACCCCAAAGTTAAGGTTAGACCCGCCGCTCATTTGGTAGATGCCACATACCTCCAAAATTACAAAGAAGCCCTTCGTCGCATGAAAGCGCTCCCTCCCAGTGACCCACGCAACTTCACCCAACAAGCTAACGTCCATTGTGCTTATTGTGATGGTGCATATCACCAAGTTGGGTTCCCTCAACTAGACTTCCAAGTTCACAATTCTTGGCTCTTCTTTCCCTTTCACCGTTGGTACCTATATTTCTATGAGAAAATCTTGGGGAGCTTGATCAAAGACCTTGACCCAAATTTTGCTCTACCCTTTTGGAATTGGGACTCTCCTAATGGCATGCCAATGCCTGCCATGTACACAGATCCCCAATCACCACTTTATGACTCCCTCAGAAACGCCAATCATAAACCGCCAAAACCCGTTGACCTTGACTACAATGGCACTGAAGACCAAAGCACAACTCAACAACAAATATCAGCCAACCTCAACATCATGTATCGGCAACTTGTGTCAAGTTCAAAGACTCCATCTCTCTTCTTTGGTAGTGCTTATCGCGCGGGTGAAGATAGTGATCCTGGTGGTGGCACTGTGGAGAACATTCCTCACGGTCCTGTCCATGTATGGACTGGTGATAACACACAACCTAACTTTGAAGATATGGGCAGTCTCTACTCTGCGGGTAGAGACCCCATTTTCTTCTCTCACCACGCTAATGTGGATAGGATGTGGTCTATATGGAAAACACTTGGTGGGAAAAGAAATGATATATCTGATTCTGATTGGTTAGAGTCTGGTTTTGTTTTCTATGATGAGAATAAGAACCTTGTTCGTGTGAAGGTGAAGGATTGTCTTGATACTAAAAAGCTTGGTTATGTTTACCAAGATGTTGATGTTCCATGGTTACAAACTAAGCCTACACCACGTAGGGGTAGCCTTCAAAGAGTGGTTCAAAAGAGCTTGGGTGTGGGTGCAGCACGGGCTGATGAGACTTCCAAAGAAACTAAGTTTCCTTTGCTTTTGGATTCAACTGTGAGGGTTATCGTGAAGAGGCCAAGGAAAGGTAGGAATGAGAAGGAGAAGAAAGAAGAAGAGGAAGTGTTGGTGATAGAAGGGATTGAGTTTGAAAGAGAATTAGGTGTGAAGTTTGATGTCTATATTAACGATGAAGATGATGTGCCAGGTGGGCCAACTAAGACTGAGTTTGCGGGAGGCTTTGTGAGTGTGCCTCATAAGCACAAGCACAAGCAAGGGAAGATGAAGACGAACTTCAGGATTGGGATAACAGAGTTGTTGGAGGATTTAGGTGTTGAAGATGATGAACATGTGGTCGTGACTTTGGTGCCTAAGTTTGGGAAAGGGCATGTCACCGTCGGAGGTATCAAGATAGAGTTTCACAAGTGATCATCACATTGATATTGGGTTAAAATATTTGAATAAAAACGATAGCATGTGCTTGTTCCATTGATCATGACGAGGTTTACGCTGGTTTAGTTGAATTCTTCACCTTTCAGTCACTAAATTAAATGGCCTCACCGTGTGGTACTTCGGTTGGAGACAAGATGTAGGTGCAGGTTGTGGAAAATGCATGTTTTTATATTTTGAGTGAGACATGTTTCGGTATTTTTAAAATGATATTATATATATATATATATATATATATATATATATATATATAATTACATATAATACTATATAGTATATATAGCGTTAATTTTCATGGTTTAAACAATATAATTGAGCTTAAATCGCTCACATTATATTTCTTACATAAAATCTTAGGAAAATATTAGTTTGATATTATTATTTTATTTTCTTATGAAATGTTAAATCATTTTTTTAAAAATTGGGATGTGTATAAAAAATGAAATTATGAAATAAAATAATCACATTTGAAAATTACACGCGTTTTTCTCTGCCTTATAATAAATGAAGAAATTAATTTTTAAGTTGTGGATTTTTTACATCTTTATTTAATTTCTATACCCTTTTATCACATTTATGTAAAATATTACAAATTAATAAAAAGAGAAAAAAATATCAAAATCCTTGTAAGTAAGGATATAAATGTAGATGAAATTTAAACAATTATTATATATTGCTATTTACAGTATTTCATATATTAGGGTTCTTTAGTTAGTAATATCGAGACTAAGCGTGTTATTTCTCATGAGTAGCAATATGCATGTGCTTCTTCCATTCAACAAGTTATCTTTACTTTTTCGTGTTTATATTCACAGGCTGAATATCAAATTTCCTTTATTAATACAAAATTAATAATAATGAATAATTAGAATGTAAATAAGAAATGTTAAAAATTTATTTTTGAAGACTAATAAAATGTATTTATTTTTTTTATTTAAATTATTCATAGTATAATTAATGAATACCACTTGGTTCACTAAAGATTTATTTCATTGGAAAAAAAAATTACTAATAATTAATAAGTGTAATTTTATTGATTTCTTTAACAATTTTTAGAATTACCGTCTAACCTGTGAGACCAGTCAGACTACATATCCATGATAAGTATCGCAAGTTGAAAACAAAGTCTATCAAATTTTAAGGATTATATTGACTAAATAAAATGAAAAAACTTTAAAGAACCAAAATTAGATACAAAAGTGGAAAATGTACCTTTATAATACTGTAAAATAGATATTGTCGGGGGCGTAAGCGGATAAAGCCAGCTGCTTGCAAACACGATCAATTTAGTTTGAATCAATAATAAAAATAATGAGTTAATTTGTACAGTTAGATTCATTTAGATCTAAAACGAAAATTTTAATTATATTTAATTTGTATATTATATTCAAATATTTGAAAAATAAATAGTTTAAATTAAATTAATATATATATGTTATTATTATTGACTATATTGAAGCAGTGTTAATTTATAATTCACTTGATTATGTTAAATTATATTTTTTTTAAATATATTTTAATTACTGAATAATTTGTAGATCTCTTTCTATTTTCTATATTTTGTTATCTTTTATTTTTAGTTTTTCGTACGTTTACGTATACATAATAAAAAATAATAAATAATTTTTTTTATTAAAAAACATAACATTATTAAAAATTTATTGTGTAAAATATAGATTGCCTTGGAAGCCAAAAAAATAAAATAAAATAAAAAATAATATAGATTGCCTTACTGAACACCACGGAACCCGTTAACTACTTAATTATAACATAAGCAATTAATACTTTGACTAAAATAAAGTACCCTGTATAAATTTGACTTCCACGGAAAACTCTTTAAATAAAATGCATATTACGTTACGGAATACGGCTGCATACTAAACTAAATATTAAATTTATTTCTTAAAAGTGACATAAAATAAGCTCCATTTGCTATATTTTATTGAATATGAAAAGTAATGAATTTGAAACTATGACTAAGGAGAAGGGCTTTTCACCTAAGTCATGTCATAATGTTAATGGCGTTATTATAATTATAGATGTTATTGTAATTGTTAATTATAATTAAAGATAAAGTGAGTAATTTATAAATGTTAGTTGGATGGCACTAAAGTTAATAAAGGATGAAGTCAGGCCAGCTTCTGCTCCAATACGTGTTAAGTGTTTAGTGGATAATTTTTTTCTTCGGCAAGAAGTCTCAAATTCACCTAAATGTTCGTTTAACATCATTTTTTCACCTGGGATAAAATGTGGAATGAAGAAAAACTAATTTTCAAATAATATAAAAATTTAACATAATATAATTTATTATTTTAAAATGAAACTTTTAAATAATTATTTTTATTTATTTAATGGTTTTTCAGTACTTTTAAAGTCAAAACTTACAGGTTGTGAGAAATGACTATCTAAAAAACAATAGATCATGTGGGGTGGGGGCGGTGTAGCAGTTTGAATCGTTAAAATATAGAATTAAAAGTTTAAATTAAATTTAAACTTTTCTATTTCAATTTATTTGTTCTGTTTTCTTTACTGGTTCAGGTTGAACTAATTTAATAAAATATCAAATTCAAATTTAGACTATGTTTAATAGTTTTAATAAAAAAATATGTTAAAAACAAACATTTTGGTAAAAAATAATAAATATGAACATAGACTTCATACGTCTTTTGTTTATTTTCAATAACTATATTATTATTATTATTATTATTATTATTATAATTCATTATTTATTTTTTGAAATAAAATTTTTACTACTAAAAAGTCTAATTCGTGAAAGTAATATAAAATAATTAGTCCAACAAAGAGAGGGAAAAAAAATTCTGGGCTTGTGATATTAGCACACGGATTAAATTTCATACACCACACTCGTATTTTTTTTTTAATTTAAAAACATCTATTGGGTAATTCTAAAAGAATTTTTTCTCACTTAAATTAAAAATACAATTATAATATTAATTTTTCAATATTAAGAATGTAATTATTTATATACATTTTTTTTCATATATTAAATTTTCTAATAAATTACTCAACGGAAGGTGAAGAAAAGTAAAAATTAATCATTGTTGAATTGATTTTCTACTATCATTTATTGGAAACAAATAGGTGGAGAAAATTACCAATGATTAGGTGAAAAAATTATAATTGTTAAATTAATTCTTTATTTCAAATTCATCCTATTTTAAAACTTAAAATAACTTAACTCTTTGAATACCTTTTAGTCATATGTACAATCTATTGTTAGCTAGCTCTTTGTTGAAAATCAACATATTAGTTAATGACACGGGGATTGAAAACACCAAAATCAAGTCACAATGGTGTATATATAGCATTTGTTTTGGCATTAATTATTGTTCTAGGCTGAGTCTTTTTAAATTTTCTTACATAACCTCAAATCTTAAAGGTTTCAATTTCCTTATTTCAGCTAAATAGCTTGTTGTTAAGAATTATTTATGAATTTTGTGTATAATCTTTTGTTTTAAGAGGGAAGAATACATGCTTTAGTCAAATAAGATTTGTTGTCATAGTTTTAGAATTTGCTGAAGAAAAGGTGACTTGTTATATGAAAAATTTCTTGATCGGTGAAAATGGGATAAAGTATCACACATACAAACATAAATATATGTTGAACATCATGCGGACCACCAAAATATCACATATTTAGGTGAAAATATTCTAAATAATTTGTTTACTCATGTTTCTTTTTTAACCATTGCAGTTGAAATGGAAGACATATATTTGACAGGTTAGCAACCATTAAAATTACTAAAACATACATTTTTATTGTACAAAGACTTTTTAATAGTTTCTTAACAACTTTACTTATTCTAGGTAGGAAAACTCATTCTAGATTTGTTATTCCAAATGAAGTAATTGAGGACTAAACCTATAACATCAAGCAAGAAAGTCATTTGTTTGAGTTAATCAAAGTTAAGTTAGTTACATGGGATGAGGCTCCTATAACTCAAACATTGTTCTGAAGCTACGGACATAACATTTAGGGATATATTACACTTTTCTATTATTGACAGCTCAAATAAGCCTTTTAGAGGAAAAGTCATGATTTTGTGACAAATACTACTTATCATCCAAAAAGGGATTTTTGGATAAAACAAGATATTGTTCATGCACCATTAATGCTTCATATTTTTAACAATTTTGTGAAGTATTGTAGTTGACAAGAAAAATATAAGACTTCTAGATGTTGAAATTAATGACTTAAGCACATTCTCCAATTAGATATTAAGTATTGACGATGGAACTATTAGTGAAGAAAATAATGATAGCATTATTGTTAGCATTCTAAAGGAATTTATCATCATTAACACAAGAGATCTTATTGCTTTATTAGAATTTGCAAATTTTTTTAAAGCTGCAAAGGATCCAAAGTGGATTATTGCAATGCACGAGGAGCTTAAAATGATTGAGAAGAACCAGACTTGGGAATTAGTTCCTAGACCTCAACACAAAAATGTTATTGGTGTTAAATGGATGTTTAGGACTAAACACAACGCATATGATTTCATTAACAAGCACAAAGTCAAGCTTGTAGTGAAGGGATATGCTCAAGTATTTGGAGTTGATTTCTCTAAAACATTTGCTCCGGTTACTCAGCTTGATACAATCATATTGGTTCGTACTTTTGTAGCTCAAAAAGGATGGAAGATATGTCAACTGGATGTAAAATCTGCTTTTCTCAATGGTTATTTACAGAAGGAGATATATGTTGAGCAGCCTGAAGGTTTTGCACTTAAAGGACAAGAAGACAAGGTCTATTTGCAAAAGAAGGCCTTGTGTGGTTTAAAGCACGCTCCAAGGGCCCAGAGTAGAATTGATGAGTACTTGTTGAGTATTAGTTTCACAAAAAGTCTCAGTGAGTCAATTGTTTATGTGCAATGCTTGAACTCTAAGATTTTAATTGTTTCATTATATGTGAATAATCTCTTAGTGATAGGAAACAATATTGCATTTGTTGAGAAATT